AAGTGAAACACGGTTTAGAACAACTCTCAGGCGTGTGGAACAAAACTAACTCCAGCTCCCACCCACCAGTGGTGATAGGATATGTAATATGCTGCCAGCCTTGGTCTAATTTCGTTTAGGAACTTGTGTGGGCTGAATACGCAGAGTGATGACATCAATTCCTACTGCACACGGTAACAAATGTCAGTGAAAAGAACTTACTACTCTTCCTTGTTGGTGCAAACAGATTAAAAAAAACAAAACAAACAAACAAACAAACAAAAACCCTTCCCTGCAGCCCTAACCTGCTCCTGAAAGCTTGCATGCGAGTTTTCCTTAATAGCACTTTGATGGCATTTTTAGGAATTTACCTGAGAATTTGCCTAAATCAGTAATTTATAACCCGGGATGATTTTGCACATAGGGGACATCACTGGATGAGGGAGCTGCTATTGACATCTAGTGGGTAGAGCCCACGGATGCTGATAAACATTCTACATCAAACAGGACAGCTCCCTCAAAAAGGATTATCTGGCCCATAATGCCAGTGGTGCTAAGATGAAGCTCTATCTCGAAATATATCAACTGATTTTGAAATTTCCACTTGGGTTTTATATCAGATTACACAGGGCATTATAAGGAGCATTATCTAAATTGCCGTTATCTGTTAAGGCAGCTTACAAGAAAAAGAACATTGATTCTACAAATAAAGCTAACAAGGACTTAAACAAACAAACAAACAAACAAAACCCCACAACCAATAAAGGTGGTGAGGGAGAAGAAAATCATGAAGGAGGTCAGGTTAGAGGGAGTTCCTTCAGTGAAATTCTAAAGGGAAGAGGGCAGGCCCATGTCTCAATCAGCTTGTCAGTTCCTGGACTACAGCTCTGACAAATAATGGGCTTACCACATGTTGAATGAAAACAATAAAATGTATTAAAGATGTTGGTCCATCCTCTTTTCAAGAATTTTGATGCATGAAGATTCTTCAGTGTTATGCATGAAGATTATTAGTATTTTTCTTTTGGTCTAATAGAATGATGATGAATTACTTTTCAAGTTACAAGTTTGATCTTATTAACTGGATCTTTCTGAAAATAGTTTAAATCCATAGAGAACCAGATATAGCTCAACATCGCATTCAATAACTATATTTTATTTATATTTACCCTATTCTGATTCTTTTTCTATCAAATATAAAAAACAATTGGCCAGGATATATTTTTTAAATAAAATGACACCTACGCATTATCTCATATTTAATCAGGCTGAGCAATCTCTTTTCTCTCAACATTCTGTTGTCTACCTTAAATAGGGTAATTGTATTTGTTTGAGATTTCTTGAATCTCTCCAAATTCATTTTTAAAACAAAGCCTCTAATGAGAAACAGTACTCTTAGACTCACATTCAATTATTATATTTTCCATATTTCTTTTGAGCTAGGTTTTGGGTTAGACACTTTAATGTTCTTTATTCCTCTAGTTTGGTTATGTTTTACAGATGAAGAAACTGACTTAGAGAGTTTCAGGAAATATATCCAAGTTCAAACAGATTGTAAATGTTAGAAATAATATTCAAATTTAGATTTTCTGATTTCATTGCCAAGAGTCACATGGTAACCAATACTAATTAGAGCATTTAAATAACTTTCCAGTTTGTGCATATCAGACCAGTAGTAATAGTAATATCATTATTTGATTGTTAGTAATGGCAATACATTGATGACTGTCAGCTGAGGACTGGGAAATGGGTTTCAAGTCTTGTTCAAAGAATGAGAGGTACACAGCCATTATATTTAATAGTCCTACATCTGATGCTTTCAAAGCCCTAGAACAAAATTGATGGCATAATTACTACTATATATTCACTTTTAAGGAAGTAATGTTATATTAATTATCTATGGCCATATAACAAATTACCCCCAAACTTAGTTAAAACAACATTTATTAATTCTAGTTCTTGGTGCCTCTGGCTTACAGTCTCCCATAAGTTGCAGTTGGTGTGGAAGCCAGGACTGCAGCCTCATTTGAAGGTTTGACTGTGGGGAGTTTGGCTTTCACTCATGTACTTATAGATAAATCCAGATCCAGATGGGTTGTTCGGCTGAATTCTTTGTTGGCGAGAGACACCAGTTCCTTGCTATGTGGACCTCTGCACAGGAAAGCTTACATCATATTGTTTGGCTTTTTCAAAAGCAAGTTGGCTAGAGCAGGCAAGCCAGACTGAAGTCATGGTCTTTTGGTAACCTAATCACAGAAGTCACTTTACTATATTATATTCATTACAAGTTCATTGCTAGGTCCAACCTACACTCAAGGGGTGGAATAGCTTCCAGGGTGTGAATCCCATGAGAAAAGAATTATTAGGGGCCATCTTCACAATTGCCTACTACAAATGTCAACCAATCTTTTTACATAGAAAAGAACAGCTTTTTCTATATTTCTTAAGTTAATTTATCCATTTATTCAACATTATTCTTAAAAATAGTTCTATCAAAGCTAGTCACTCTGGTACATATTGATGGGGTACTGAACTTAGACAAGAAGAGGTAGAGGGCAAGGAAAGTTTTCTCAGTCCTAATGTCATCAAAATATGGGACTTAACAGGAAAAAATGGGGGGGGGGGGCAGGGAATGAGAAAAGGTGAGAGAAGGATGTTCCAAGAAGGAGAAACATGGGAAAGAACATGGCTTGCTCAGGGGAATACATCCTTAATCAATTATATTATTCATCTATATCCATAATCTTATCAGAGTATTACAGTTTATGATTATTCTTAATGAAGTAGTTTTAAACTGATCAAGATAACTGTTAACTATCAAATTTACAATTATGTCTAATTTATCATAGTAGTTTTTTAATTTGGTCCTGACAGATATATTGAGCCTAAGAACTCAGCATTGTTCCTGTCCACATTCACCAATCTCATTGCCTTCATTCCTAATTTGTTATCTGCCTAAGGCAGTATCCTAAGGCTGACCCTGCAGACTACTAAGTGCAGGGAAGATTGAACAATTATGAATTACTTTGGTCAATTTGATTACCCCAACCTAATAATTAACTTCAAATTAAATTATCTCCTCCTGGAACACACACAAAAAATAGTTATGGGAAAGAGGTTAGATTATTACTTCCTTTAGGCATTGGATCTACTGCTTAATGGTTAATATTAACACACTTCATGGAATTTATGTCAAGTACTCTGATAAGCAGGATAAGAAATTCTTCATAATTAGTACTTTAAAAGAATATATGCCTGACATATATTCTCCATTTGTACTTAATAAACTGAGGTATTATTTTCCAGGAATGATATTAGAATAAACATCTATATACAACCTTCAGATAGGGATCTGATTGTTATTAGGCAGTGTGTATACATTGTTTTTTGTTCTAGTTTTAAAATTGTTTACTATGTGCAATTTTAAACATATTCAAGAGTAAACAGAATAGAATATCCATCATCTAGCCCATAACCAACCTTGCCCCACTTGTACCTCTAACCATCCACTCCCATATTATTTTGAAGTGTATTACAGACATCATATCATTTCATCTAGCAATATTTCATATAATTCTAAATGAGTTATTGTTTTTCAACAAAACCACAATCCCATTTTACTCCTAAATAAAAGAACAGTAATTGCTTAGTATTATGAAATAGTGCCTTCTTCTCAACTCTACTTTCTTTTTATAGTGAGATAGGTAGATGGATAGATAATTATTAGTTCTACTAGTATCAACTTCAGGTGATATTCACCCACATGACAATTGTGAAGATCTGAAGACATTTTTGTTACAACTAGGGTTTGCTACTGGCATCTAGTGGGTAGAAAGCCAGGTATGCTGCAAAACACACAGTGCCAAATAACAAAGAATTATCTACCCCAAAATGTCTAGTGCTACTGTGGAAAAATGCAGATAGGTGATGATGATAGATAGATAGATAGATAGATAGATAGATAGATAGATAGATAGATGATAGATAGATAGATTAAATAGAAGTTAAAATGGGCAAAAGTTTATAAAGAAGAGCAATACAAAATATCCATGCTACAAGGTCATTGTTTGTAGCCACACAAAAGGCAAAATGGATTTAACATTGGGAAGACTTCTCAAAATATGTAATTATTCCAACCTAAGTGTCCCATAAATCTGATGAAATTTTATGACTTTTTTAAGTATGGAGAAGAGTGGCCTAGTATTAATTAATAGAACACTGTTCCAGGTGTGTTAAAGAAGTTCATAAAAGTACAATGTTTCTTACATGGGCAGCAGAACCAAGGGAATACTTAATAAATACAGGTAGGACACTACAAAACATTATTTTGAATTTGCTAAACAATAACCTGTCAGAAATGGGCTTTCTTTAATGTAAAATGGTGCTATGAATGTTAATGTTTGTGACATATTTTTAAGATGAAAATGGATATTAATTACTTTAATGCAAACAGAGCTATGCTCATTATTCTTTGCACAGACCCCTGGCAATAATTTACCTAGCTGCGCAGCAGTTCATGCAGATCAAAGCTGCATTATTTAAGTGTGTCCAGGGGGCAGATTCTAGCTCTGTGCCTTACACTTTAAAGAAAAAAATATATATTGGTTTGCTTCTTGAGAAACAAAAATCTAGGTGCTTCAGGCAAGTTCTACAATATTTAAACACGTTTAATTCCTCTTATTCTCTAGGACAAACCCCCTCCCTATTCCAAATCATCTAAACTCTTAGGGGAGTACAGAACAACTGTGGAAATGTAAATTTTTTTTTTTTTTAATGAACAGCAGTGTGTTTTCATTGAAATTAAACCCGAATGGGAACTAGATTCCGGAAAGGAAATGGCAGGGAGAGAGGGAAAGAGTCTGTAGTTGCTATAGAATGTGCCTGGCTGCTGCAGCTCACAGACAACTGATGAAGTCCAACTCTGAAATTTCAGGCAGTTTGTGTACCAAGCTCCTCCTCTTCTGTAATCTCCTCTTCCATTGGTAAAATTCTTTTCCAGGGTCATGCAGGGATCCCACCCCCTCTCTGTGTTTTCACTCTGAAGCTCTACACAACTTTACACCTGAATGAATGCCAAACCTCAGGGATATATAAAGGGAACCTTGAGGAAGAATTTCACAGTTACAGTGCAGGAGCAAGAGGGAAAGGAATTAACTAGCTCTCCAGCCAAGCAGATCCTCTACTCACCATGCTTCCTCCTGCCATTCATTTCTATCTCATTTCCCTTGCTTGCATCCTAATGAGAAGCTGTTTGGCTTTTAAGAATGATGCCACAGAAATTCTTTATTCACATGTGGTAAAACCTGTTCCAGCACACCCCAGCAGCAACAGCACGATGAATCAAGCCAGAAATGGAGGCAGGCATTTCAGTAACACTGGACTGGATCGCAACAGTAAGTATGCTTTACATCTGTGGATTCTGTCTTTTCTTTTTTGGTAGCACTTAGCTCACATTCCTGTAAATGCATTTCACCGCTTCCTAACCGGAACCATATACTATGTTTTGCTAAATGATCTGGGAGTAATCTGCTGCATGTGTAGAATGGCATTGTTTCTATGAAGTTAGCATAACTAAAACAGTGATTTGATAATGCAGGCACATACTTATTAGTAAGTTTTATCAAACATCCAAAGATAAAATGTTTCCAAGAATTAAACTGTTGCTTCTTTAAATCATGCACAGTAAGAATTTTTAAAAAGTGTCATTCTAGATAGTTTAGATTGAGGTTGTTTTCTGTTTATTTCAGAACATGTGCAATTCTGGTAAAGTGCATAGAGGTAACTAGCCAAAGTATGCATAAGAAATCACAAGGGAAAAAAGACGCTTTCTGGGGGGAATAATTGCTCACCGTGAATTTCTAAAACATGTCTAGGGAAATAGTTGAAAGTTTTTATGATAATCAATGCAAATAAGGGCTAAAACTAAACAGGTTGGAGAATCATATTTTTCTGAGATAATTTCTTATTAACCAGATCAAAATTCAGGTTATTGTATATATCTGTGAAAGACTAGGGGAACTCTTATACCTTTAAAATTTTAAAATAGTAACAGTGCATTAATATATTATACAGGGAGCATTTTTGCCTTTTTCTGTGTTCTTAATTGACACACTGATCACTAGTTGGAGGGATTTAAATTTCTTTTTCTCATTTCTATCCTTCAGAAGAGTTCACATGCTAAGAGTCGGGTTTTAAGAGAGACCACAGGAAATCTTACAACATTTTTTTTTTGGTCCCCCTCCTCAACTCCATTCAACTGTGAAAAGTAGTTTTGACCTTTGAAAGGTCAAAGCACACATGACTGCAAAGGTCTAAAAAATCCCAAGGTGTTTTTCCTTTCATGGAGATGGTTGCTTTGGCGTACACAGGAAATGTCTGATAATTATTAGATTATTGAGCAATGTGGTGGGTATTCATTGTCAATGAACTGTCACTGCAAAAATGCTGAATCTCTATGTACACAGGAACAAAAAGCCAGGCAGGCAAGTCAGAATCATCTCCGGCTGTTTCCAGGTGCATTCCTGAGGGAGCTGCCGGAAGGTGAGCTGGAATCAGAGGCAGGCAGGAGAGCACACTGACTGGCCAGCTGTTGCACCCTTTAATTTTAATCCCACACTCGATAGCTGTATGTATGCATGTATGTATATATGTATGTATGCAAACAGACATTTTCCACAACTCTCACATCCCTTTAGGTTATACTCCTCGCCTCAGAAATATTGGGAGACAGAGGTGAAGTAAAACTCCTAGTTCAAGACTTACTTCAAATTAGCTTTCACTAGTCTATCTATGCAAGGCCACTTCAGTGTCCTTGATAATTTTTAATGTTTTAAATGTCAGCAGTTATACTTTTAAACTTTTTTTTTTCTGGTTAACAAGCCTTGCTTTTTCCCCCCAAGCTTATTAAAGACAATTTTCCTCAAGTTTAGATAATAAAGCAATGGAAAGGAAACCTCAAATATTTCAAGATTAATTATTGCTTTAATTACATAAAGCATGCAACAAGAAACAGCCAATTAAAGAACATTCTTATTAAATTCTAATAACTAAACAAAAAGTTTGCCATGACCAGTATTCACTAAATGAGCACCGTGGTTCCTTTTGTAGTTGTAAATTAGACATGTTAGGCATTTTTCTGCCATAAAATTCATGGAAATGTAGCCAAGTTGTTATGGCAACCATACGTTCCTGATTTAGAAGGTTTTATATTCTTTAAAATTTGAGTTGTAGTGACATTTTGCATTTCAAGCATTTTAATATTTGTACTTTTAAAAGATAGCTTGGGAATTTACGTTTAAAATGTAGTTATTAAGTTTGATATGCAAAATGTCAGACTGTACATATGTATTTATGATTCTTTGCAGGTAAGTTTTATAACTGAAACAGAATATTACAGATACATATGCATTCTACACAGTATTTAAATACTTTCCACATTTTCTCAATAGATTTCTAAAAAACTAGTTAAATAAAAGCAATTGTAGACATTAACAAATATGATCTGTGAGCAAAACAATCATTAAAATATACTCTTTTTTACACTTAAATGTAAGAGCTGCTTAAACCATCCTGGAGAGTGAGACTAAGAAAATGGGACTTTCAAATACTCACTCGAGTGAGCAATTAGTTAATGTCATATATGAACAAAAATAAGTTTAGTTTATTTAAAAAAAAAATGTATAGCTATGCAAACGGATCATTTTCATGAAAGTGTCTCTACCACCATCCAGGCAGATTTTTGCATTGTGGAAATAAAATAGATGTTTTCTTTCTATTGGGCAATATGCTATCACCTGCATAACATCTGTGTCACTGCAGACTACTTTTAAGAAATGCCCATTTGCTGATGATACCTCTCTCTGCACACTTTCTCTCTGCTGTTTCCTGCAGCTCGGGTTCAAGTGGGTTGCCGGGAACTGCGTTCCACCAAGTACATCTCTGATGGCCAGTGCACCAGCCTCAGCCCCCTGAAGGAGCTGGTGTGCGCGGGGGAATGCCTGCCCCTGCCGCTGCTCCCCAACTGGATCGGGGGAGGCTATGGAACCAAGTACTGGAGCCGGAGGAGCTCCCAGGAGTGGAGGTGTGTCAACGACAAAACGCGCACCCAGAGGATCCAGCTGCAGTGCCAAGATGGCAGCACGCGCACCTACAAGGTCACCGTGGTCACCGCCTGCAAGTGTAAGAGGTACACGCGGCAGCACAACGAGTCCAGCCACAACTTCGAGAGCATGTCTCCCGCCGAGCCAGGCCAGCACCACAGAGAGCGCAAGAGAGCCAGCAGGCCCAGCAAGCACAGCATGAGTTAGGGCTCAGACTCTGAACCTGGACTGGCTGGTAACCATCTGCTTTACAGATCTGATTTGCTTGGAAGATTCAAGTCTGCCATTGCTATTTTCTTACTTGAAAATACATGCTTTCTGCTTTGATGAAACCCAGCAAGCTGTCCTAAGTATCAGGACCTTCTCTGGGAGTAGCTTTTCCTTTACACGTTTTTCAAGATGTACACACATCCATGAGTGCAATTTGTATTTCAATCCCATACATCTTGCAGTTTTAATTTCCCATGATTCTTGAAAGACCGGTTATACTATATATATATATATATATATATATATATATATATATATATATATATATATATATATATATATATATTTTTTTTTTTTTCCCCAAGTGATTATTCAACATATATTGTACTATATGTTGAATAATCACTTTTTAAAAGAAAGGGTTTCTTAATTACCCTGCACTCCCCAACCCATCCCCCTACCCAGCAAATCCCTCCCAAACTGCAAAGTTAAAAAAACTGTAGCCTTGAGTATTTATAATAATACTTTAGAAAGGTGCTTTTTTCTTTTTCTTGGCAATCTTCATGGAACAGTTTAGCAGCCATGAGTGATCTTCCTTTGACAGAGTGAAAGACCTTGTGACATTTCACTTCAAAAATAAGCCCTGAAGCTTTTTACAGTCTCATAGTATGAAATTATACCCTGCATGCTGACCCTCGCTTGGAATGGAATGCCAGAAATGCATGGCAGCAGCTAATAACTAAAGTTGATTAACTATTTATTTGTCAATGTTATTATTTAATGAGCTTTCACATGTGATTTTTTTTCAAAATGTAATTTTTTTTTATGTTATGAAGCTTTTTCATGTACCTAAATATTTTCCTGTATAATTTGTGGTTGGTCTAGAAAGATGTTGTAGATATGTAAAATAAATATGGTAATCTTCTTATTACATATATGTTGCATCATGAACTTTATCAATAGTATGGATCTTTTCAAATCAATAAGATGCTTTGTAAAACTGAAATATGAAATACTTTCTTGTTTAATCTGTGCAATCAGAAGGCAATTTGACCTTCAATTCCATCAGTTTCTTTTAACAAAAATAAATACTGCTAAAAGTATTGTCTTTGTCTATAACATGTATAAAAATATACCTGTTTACAAAAATTACAGAATAAATGTGCCAGAGTAATTGATATAGTAGATAAGGTACATTCAAATTTTGACAGAAAGTTCTATAGTGGGAAAGAAGACAGGGAAAGGAAGACCATCATTTTAAAAATATATATTTTTGCTGATTTTTAGAGAGAGAAGAAGGGAGAGGGAGACAGAAAGATAAACATCAATGTGAACATAGAACATCAACTGGCTGCCTCCTGCATTCCCTCTATTGAGGGGTCAAGCCCTCAACCTAGGCATGCGCTGGGAATCAAACTAGCAACCTGTTGGTACGTGGGATGATGCCCAACCAACTGAGCCACACCTCCAAAGCGGGAGACCATCTTTTCAGTAAATGGAATGATTGAGAAAGTTGGGTGGCAATCCAGCAATGAGTTGTAATAAGAATATCATAGTTATATTCCCCCAGAGATGCTAAGTCTGCTGCCCATTATAATCACCTGGGGGAGATATTATGAGACTCAATGCCCAGGTTGCCATCTAAAATACATCATAATATCTGGGGGGTAGAATTCAGATATTGGCATTTTTTTTTTAAAGTTTTCCAGGTG